AGGGCCACAGAACCGTTTACTTAGGGCCACATAAACGTTAATCAGGGACACAGAATTTACTGAGGGCCACAGAACCGTTACTTAGGGCCACAGAATTGTTACTCGGACAGACACAGAATTGTTACTCAGGGACACAGAATTGTTACTGAGGGCCACAGAACTGTTACTTAGGGCCACAGAATTGTTACTCGCACAGACACAGAATTGTTACTCAGGGACACAGAATTGTTACTCAGGGCCACAGAACTGTTACTTAGGGCCACAGAATTGTTTCTCGCACAGACACAGAATTGTTACACAGGGACACAGAATTGTTACTGAGGGCCACAGAACCGTTACTTAGGGCCACAGAATTGTTACTCAGGGACACAGAATTGTTACTGAGGGCCACAGAACCGTTACTTAGGGCCACAGAAACGTTAATCAGGGACACAGAATTGTTACTGAGGGCCACAGAACTGTTACTTAGGGCCACAGAATTGTTACTCGCACAGACACAGAATTGTTACTCAGGGACACAGAATTGTTACTGAGGGCCACAGAACCGTTACTTAGGGCCACATAAACGTTAATCAGGGACACAGAATTGTTACTGAGGGCCACAGAACCGTTACTTAGGGCCACAGAATTGTTACTCAGGGACACAGAATTGTTACTGAGGGCCACAGAACTGTTACTTAGGGCCACAGAATTGTTACTCGGACAGACACAGAATTGTTACTCAGGGACACAGAATTGTTACTCAGGGACACATAATCGTTGAATTAAAGAGTATGTCAGACAACATGCAGAGGAGTGGCAGAGGAGGCAATGTTTTAGGAGCGAGCAGAGGTGGCAGCAGAGGAAGGGGTCGAGGCAGCACTATTCGCAGCCAGAGGCCAGTGCTCCCGGTGTCATCCAGCGGTCGTGTCTCCACCGACAACCCTGCCGTCATCGATTGGTTGGCTCGGTCGTCTTCCTCTTCCCAGGTCACCTCTGACACCTACAGCCAACGGTCGGTGGGTACGTCAGACACAACCGTTAGTTGGCATGGCCCGGGAGCAAGCCCACTGAAATCACATGTCCTCTACCTGCCCCTGTCCTTTGCTGTTCCCTCACCAAGCGAAGTATCGCATGCTGTGGGCTCAGCCCCACTGTACAGTGAGGAAGAGCTAACAGAGGGCGGTCAGGAACGGGGGGAGACATCCGCCTTTTCAGCAGCCAGGCGAAGAAGTACTGGCGAGGAGAGTGGCTCGGTAGCCGGTCTAGAGACAGGTCTGTCTCCTGACCCAGACGCAGCCGAGGGGGCTAGTAGTGAGGCGGAGACCCTACTTGATGATGAGGAGGTTGATCGCACTTGGCTGCCTCGTCGTCATCAGGCAATTTCTTCCGCATCATCAGGAGAAGAGGGTGCCAGCTTGGCAGCGAGCGAAACAGTCGGTGGGTTGCCCAGGAGGCAGCAGGGTCGCATCAGTGTCAGTGGAGCCAAACGTCCACGGAGTAGAGCACCAGCTCCACTGCAGCCTACCACCACGGCCAGTAGTGGTGCCGGTGCGCACGGAGGAAGTAGCAGTCAGCCAGTGAGGAGTAGCGGGGGCAAAGTTTCCTACTCGGTGGTGTGGCAATTTTTCGTCAAGCCGCCCGAGGAAGTAAACGTAGCCGTATGTCGACTATGTGGCCAGAAATGCAAGCGTGGCCAGGGGGCCCATGTTGGGACTACAGCGTTGCGTCAGCATATGCAGCGTCACCATTCGGTGGCCTGGGAAAACCGTGATAAAGATACGGCGGTTCTGCCTGCCCCAGCCCCCGCTCCATCACCCGCTCCGTTACTTGCTCCCGTCACCCGACGTCGTCAATCGCCCTCTATCAGCCAGTCAAGGCTCCAACACCTCTGCTGAGGGGAGTTGTCGCTCGTTGGCATCTTCCGCTCGTTCAGATGCTCCTTCTCCTGCTACTCCTCTTCTCGGATTCCGTCAACAGTCTTTCTTGGAATCCGTTTCCAAGAGACAACAGTTTGCGAGCACGCACCCGACGGTGCAAAAGCTGAACGTCCTCCTGTCCAAGTTGCTGGTGCTGCAGTCCCTCCCTTTCCAACTGGTGGACTCAGCACCTTTCCGAGAAATGATGGCTTGTGCCGCGCCGCGGTGGAGAGTGCCAAGCCGTCATTTCTTCGCCATAAAGGCAGTGCCAGCCCTGCATTCACATGTAGAAGAGATGGTGGGCCAGTCTTTGAGCATGTCGGTCTCTGCCAAAGTGCACGGCAGCGCCGACGTGTGGAGCTGTAACTACGGTCAGGGACAGTACATGTCATTTACGGCCCACTGGGTGAACGTGGTGCCGGCACAGCCGCACCAGCAACTTGGACAGGTCACGACGCTTTTGCCTCCACGTTTGCACGTCCTTGGTCCAGCAAACATGTCCGCCTCTACCACCTCTTTTTCCGCCGTGTCCTCAGCCGCCACCCCCGTGCCAAGTCCCATTACCCGACCGGCATATCACATGTGCAGGGCGCAACGGTGTCACGCTGTGCTGCACCTGGTATGCCTTGGCGAACGTAGTCACACAGGGGAGGAACTTCTGAGTGTAATGAACAGAGAAATCGACAGATGGCTGTCTCCGCGCAAACTGAAAATCGGAACCATGTTGACCGACAACGGAAAGAACATGGTGTCTGCTCTGCGTCAAGGAAGGTTGTGCCATGCGCCATGCATGGCTCACGTGTTCAATCTGGTTGTCAAGCGGTTCCTAAAATCCACCATCCCACTGCAAGACATCCTTAAAATGTCCGTAAACTGTGCATGCATTTCAGCCATTCCTACACCGCAAAGAACACCCTCATTGAGCTGCAGCGGCAGAACGGAATTCCACAGCATCGCCTGATCTGCGACGTTGCAACAAGGTGGAATTCAACCCTACACATGTTAGACCGCCTTTACGAGCAGCGAAAGGCCATCACCGATTTCCTGATGTTACAAGCGGATAAAGGTACTCCCCTGTGTAACTTCGATGTCAGCCATTGGCAGCTCATGCGTGACACCTGCCGCTTGCTCAGGGCTTTGAGGAGGCCACGCTATTCGTGAGTCGGCAGGACTATGGGATGAACGACGTCATTCCTCTGTTGCACGTCCTGGAACAAATGCTGTTAACAATGGCTGGTCAGGGTGCGGTAGACGTGGCGCACAGATCTCAACGCCACATGACCCCTGTGGGGGCAGGACAGGAAGAAGAGGAGGAGGTAGAGGAGGACATTTGTGCTCAGGAATTATTGAGTGAAATGGGTGGTTTTTCCACTCAGCGGACAGGAGTGGAGGAGCAGGAGCATCTGGTAGAGGAGGAGGAGGAGGAGACAGAGGACCCAGACGCACCGTGGCAGTATGCTGTGGAGATGGAGGCAGGGAGTCCCTCGCATTCCTTGGCACAAATGGCCCATAGCATGCTCGGTTGCTTGCGTAGCGACAGCCGAATAATAACCATCAGACAGAGGGATGACTTTTGGCTGTCCACCTTGTTGGACCCTCGCTATCGTTCCAAAATGGTGGCCTTTTTCACACCTGCTGAGAGGGAGGCCAAAATTACATACTATAAAAACCACCTATGTAGTCAGTTGGTCTCTGCCTTTGTGCGCCAACGTCCATCCTCAGACACTGTGGGCCCTGTGCGCTCGCGTTCCGCTGCCATGGCAGCAGGGGAGGGGTGGGGTGGTAGGAGCAGTGGCAGCTCCACCAGCAGCGGCTGCCTCAGTCTGCAGTCGATGATGAGTAGCTTTCTTCACCAGCGCAGTGAGGAAACTACTAACCAGCCGCAGCAGCAGCAGCAGCATCAGGTGGACCTGGAGCAGGAGCTCAAACAACAGGCTTGGGCCTACTTGGACAGCACCCTGCCAACCGAGGTAGACAATCCCCTTGACTACTGGGCAACGAAACTTGACCTTTGGCCCCAACTAGCTGAATTTGCCCTTGAAAGGCACTCCGCGGAGGACACGACTGTCCACCCAAAGTGTGGAGAGACTCACGTTTGTGAAAATGAATCAGGCGTGGATTAGTCTGGATTTCAAACCACCAGTTCCTGACACAACTGACTAAATCCGCCATGAATCATGCCCCTGCCATGTGCCACTTTCAGGTCTCCTCACACACTGCTGGTGTGTTCCATTTTTTGTCATAGGGTGCTGGCAGATTACGGGCCTCCCATTGCTGCTGTCTCCATCGCCACACTCTGCCATGTGCCACATTCAGGTCTCTTCACACTGCTGTTGTGTTGAATTTTTTGACATAGGGTGCTGGCAGATTACGGGCCTCCCATAGCTGCTGCCAGGCCCCTAATCTGCCATGGGCCCCTATATACCGCCTCCTCATGCTGCTGCCAAGTCCAGAGTCTCTCATGGGTCCCTGTACGGCCTCCCATTGCTGCTGTTTCCATCGCCACACTCTGCCATGTGCCACATTCAGGTCTCTTCACACTGCTGTTGTGTTGAATTTTTTGACATAGGGTGCTGGCAGATTACAGGCCTCCCATAGCTGCTGCCAGGCCCCTAATCTGCCATGGGCCCCTATATACCGCCTCCTCATGCTGCTGCCAAGTCCAGAGTCTCTCATGGGTCCCTGTACGGCCTCCCATTGCTGCTATTTCCATCGCCACACTCTGCCATGTGCCACTTTCAGGTCTCCTCACACACTGCTGTTGTGTTGAATTTTTTGACATAGGGTGCTGGCAGATTACGGGCCTCCCATAGCTGCTGCCAGGCCCCTAATCTGCCATGGGCCCCTATATACCGCCTCCTCATGCTGCTGCTAAGTCCAGAGTCTCTCATGGGTCCCTGTACGGCCTCCCATTGCTGCTGTTTCCATCGCCACACTCTGCCATGTGCCACATTCAGGTCTCTTCACACTGCTGTTGTGTTGAATTTTTTGACATAGGGTGCTGGCAGATTACGGGCCTCCCATAGCTGCTGCCAGGCCCCTAATCTGCCATGGGCCCCTATATACCGCCTCCTCATGCTGCTGCCAAGTCCAGAGTCTCTCATGGGTCCCTGTACGGCCTCCCATTGCTGCTGTTTCCATCGCCACACTCTGCCATGTGCCACTTTCAGGTCTCCTCACACACTGCTGTTGTGTTGAATTTTTTGACATAGGGTGCTGGCAGATTACGGGCCTCCCATAGCTGCTGCCAGGCCCCTAATCTGCCATGGGCCCCTATATACCGCCTCCTCATGCTGCTGCCAAGTCCAGAGTCCCTCATGGGTCCCTGTACGGCCTCCCATTGCTGCTGTTTCCATCGCCACACTCTGCCATGTGCCACATTCAGGTCTCTTCACACTGCTGTGTTGTGTTGAATTTTTTGACATAGGGTGCTGGCAGATTACGGGCCTCCCATAGCTGCTGCCAGGCCCCTAATCTGCCATGGGCCCCTATATACCGCTCCTCATGCTGCTGCCCCAAGTCCAGAGTCTCTCATGGGTCCCTGTACGGCCTCCATTGCTGCTGTTTTCATCGCCACACTCTGCCATGTGCCACTTTCAGGTCTCCTCACACACTGCTGTTGTGTTTGAATTTTTTGACATAGGGTGCTGTCAGATTAACGGCCTTCCATTGCTGCTGCCAGGCACGTAATCTGCCATGGGCCCCCGTACCGACTCCTCATGCTGTGACTTCCACTTGCAACAAGGTGTAATTCAACCCTACATATGTTAGACCGCCTTTACGATACAGCGAAAGGCCATCACAGATTTCCTGATGTTAAAAGCGGATAAAGGTACTCCCTGTGTAACTTAGATGTCAGCCATTGGCAGCTCATGCGTGACACTACTGCGCTTTTCAGGCCCTTTGAGGAGGCCACGCTATTCGTGAGTCGGCAGACTATGGGGATGAACGAGGTCCCAAATCGGCCATGGGCCCCCGTACCGCCTGGTCACGCTGCTGCTGAGCCCACAGTGTGACCTGGGTCCCTGTACGGCCTCCCATTGCTTCCACTCTGCCATGTGCCACTTGAGGTCTCCTCACACTCCTGTGCTTTTTCCATTTTGACATAAGTTGCTGGCAGATTACGGGCCTTCCATAGGTGCCGCCAGGCCCCAAATCGGCCATGGGCCCCCGTACCGCCTGGTCACGCTGCTGCTGGTCCCACAGTGTGACCTGGGTCCCTGTGTACGGCCTCCCATTGCTTCCACTCTGCCATGTGCCACTTTGAGGTCTCCTCACACTCCTGCTTTTTACATTTTGACATAGGTTGCTGGCAGATTACAGGCCTTCCATAGGTGCCGCCAGGCCCCAAATCGGCCATGGGCCCCCGTACCGCCTGGTCATGCTGCTGCTGGTCCCACAGTGTGACCTGGGTCCCTGTACGGCCTCCCATTGCTTCCACTCTGCCATGTGCCACTTTGAGGTCTCCTCACACTCCTGCGGTTTTCCATTTTGACATAGGTTGCTGGCAGATTACAGGCCTTCCATAGGTGCCGCCAGGCCCCAAAATCGGCCATGGGCCCCCGTACCGCCTGGTCACGCTGCTGCTGGTCCCACAGTGTGACCTGGGTCCCTGTACGGCCTCCCATTGCTTCCACTCTGCCATGTGTCACTTTGAGGTCTCCTCACACTCCTGTGCTTTTCCATTTTGACATAGGTTGCTGGCAGATTACGGGCCTCCCATAGGTGCCGCCAGGCCCCAAATCGGCCATGGGCCCCCGTACCGCCTGGTCACGCTGCTGCTGGGCCCACAGTGTGACCTGGGTCCCCTGTACGGCCTCCCATTGCTTCCACTCTGCCATGTGTCACTTTGAGGTCTCCTCACACTCCTGTGCTTTTCCATTTTGACATAGGTTGCTGGCAGATTACGGGCCTCCCATAGGTGCCGCCAGGCCCCAAATCGGCCATGGGCCCCCGTACCGTCTGGTCACGCTGCTGCTGAGCCACAGTGTGACCTGGGTCCCTGTACGGCCTCCCATTGCTTCCACTCTGCCATGTGCCACTTTGAGGTCTCCTCACACTCTCTGCGGTTTTCCATTTTGACATAGGTTGCTGGGCAGATTACAGGCCTTCCATAGGTGCCGCCAGGCCCCAAATCGGCCATGGGCCCCCGTACCGCCTGGTCACGCTGCTGCTGGTCCCACAGTGTGACCTGGGTCCCTGTACGGCCTCCCATTGCTTCCACTCTGCCATGTGTCACTTTGAGGTCTCTCACACACTCCCGTGCTTTTCCATTTTGACATAGGTTGCTGGCAGATTACAGGCCTTCCATAGGTGCCGCCAGGCCCCAAATCGGCCATGGGCCCCCGTACCGCCTGGTCACGCTGCTGCTGGTCCCACAGTGTGACCTGGGTCCCTGTTACGGCCTCCCATTGCTTCCACTCTGCCATGTGTCACTTTGAGGTCTCCTCACACTCCTGTGCTTTTCCATTTTGACATAGGTTGCTGGCAGATTACAGGCCTACCATAGGTGCCGCCAGGCCCCAAATCGGCCATGGGCCCCCGTACCACCTGGTCACGCTGCTGCTGGGCCCACAGTGTGACCTGGGTCCCTGTACGGCCTCCCCATTGCTTCCACTCTGCCATGTGTCACTTTCAGGTCTCCTCACACACTGCTGTTGTGTTGAATTTTTTGACATAGGGTGCTGGCAGATTACGGGCCTCCCATAGCTGCTGCTAGGCCCCTAATCTGCCATGGGCCCCTATATACCGCCTCCTCATGCTGCTGCCAAGTCCAGAGTCTCTCATGGGTCCCTGTACGGCCTCCCATTGCTGCTGCCAGGAGGCAGCAGGGTCGCAGCAGTGTCAGTGGAGGCAAACGGCCACGGAGTAGAGCACCAGCTCCACTGCAGCCTACCACCACACGGCCAGTAGTGTGGTGCCGGTGTGCACGGAGGAAGTAGCAGTCAGCCAGTGAGGAGTAGCGGGGGCAAAGTTTCCTACTCGGCGGTGTGGCAATTTTTCGTCAAGCCGCCCGAGGAAGTAAACGTAGCCGTATGTCGACTATGTGGCCAGAAAGTTAAGCGTGGCCAGGGGGGCCCATGTTGGGACTACAGCGTTGCGTCAGCATATGCAGCGTCGCCATTCGTGGCCTGGGAAAACCGTGATAAAGATACGGAGGGTTCTGCCTGCCCCAAGCCCAGGGTTCCATTTTGTCATAGGGTGCTGGCAGATTACAGGCCTACCATAGGTGCCGCCAGGCCCCAAATCGGCCATGGGCCCCCGTACCGCCTGGTCACGCTGCTGCTGAGCCCACAGTGTGACCTGGGTCCCTGTACGGCCTCCCATTGCTTCCACTCTGCCATGTGCCACTTTGAGGTCTCCTCACACTCCTGCGGTTTTACATTTTGACATAGGTTGCTGGCAGATTACAGGCCTACCATAGGTGCCGCCAGGCCCCAAATCGGCCATGGGCCCCCGTACCGCCTGGTCACGCTGCTGCTGAGCCCACAGTGTGACCTGGGTCCCTGTACCGCCTCCCATTGCTCCCACTCTGCCATGTGCCACTTTCAGGTCTCCTCACACTCCTGCTGGTTTCCATTTTGTCATAGGTTGCTGTATGGCCTCCCATTGCTGCTGCCTCCACCGCCACACTGTGGCTCCAAACACTGGTTTTGGCCCCGTGACTGGCCAAATGAGTGAAATGTGCGGTGATTCTAAGATCGACGGCACTCATCTGCATGTCATACTGACTGACAGTATTATTTCTCTTCCCCAGCAGACTCCAAGGGCATTTAAATTAAAGGTACAGTGTTCTGCACTAATATTAAGTCTCTCTGAAGCCTAGAAATACCCTTTTTTAAGTTAAATTCACAGCGAATATATTCGACTCGAATCGAATATTGTCCACGAATTCGCCGAATCAGTCGAATCGAATTTTTCAATTCTTCGCTCATCTCTAGTTATTTTACTAAGAAGCCAACTGCTGTTTATCCGTATAAAGGGAACTACAAGTTGTACATTTGATTAAGAGGAGTGATGGGGCTTTCTCTCAAATGGCTTTGCAGCTCTCACACCTGCAGACACACATACTGTATGCTCATACATACAGACACGTATGCTTACATGAAATAACAATCTCAACAGCATAACTATATTTATTTAAATTGATCTATATTTTAAATTAAATACTCATCCCATAACCATTTTCTATTTTGCTATTAACATTTTTACACAAGAAAGCAAATACTCTCCAATTATAAGCTTATCTCACTAATAAAAGGTATTTCTGCAAGTTTACGAAACACCAAAGAAATTACATTTTACAGTGACGAGCGTCGGCCTGATTCAGGTTTCTTCAAACATTTCTGTTTTCTCCATTTTGAAGAGGGAAAGTTGACACTTTTCTAGTGTCAGCAAACTATAAAATCAAGATTTCAGGAGAAATAACTTCAACCAGAAGCACCGCAAGAACCTGGAGTCAGATAGGTGAGAACTGCACATGCTGTCCTATTGGAAAATTTCCCTCCAGTGTGAGATGGGGGAACAGCTTTCATTGTTTGAACACTGATTGAGGTGAATTAAAAACGTTCTGACTGACATTCTGCAGTTTAGCCACAAGATGTCACTGTTTTATTCTAACAGCCTCAGACTGCATAGAGACTTCCATGTTCATGAAGAGGTGGAGTTTACAGAGGGGAGCTCAGTGAACAGGAAGAGAGACTGCAGCCATGCTTTTGATGATGGTGAAGGAAAAGAACGATAGGAGCTGAGAATCTGATGCCATTCAGGTGTGCAAAGCATCCCTCCGTAATCAGAACTGCAGCTAAGTGAAGCTGGTGGTGTTCAAGACGCTGACTCTGTTCAGAGAAAGGAAGATTATTGCCAGGAAGGCTGATGAGATCGCATGTTTGTTGGAGAGACATCTGTTCTGTTCAGAGTCACCAGCGGATGCAAGGTAGACCCGGGTCGGTAAGATCGTGCACGCACCTCATTTCAGTGTTGGCGCCTCCAGAGACTGAGACAGGCCTATATAGTTAGTTAGTTAGTTAGGATCTCTCTGTTTGTGTCAGGCCACAAGTGATGTTACCGATTATTGGAAGGACTCCACAACTTAAAGTGACATTTCACATTGGAGAGCTGATAAAATCTTACAAACTCAAGCCAGACTGGCGTTTTGCTCAGAAGGAGTACTCAGGCACGTGGTACAGGACCAGTTATGGGAGGGAGAATACTGTAGATTTGTGTAAGATTGTAAGCTGTTGTGCTGCACCGCAGGCTAGCCCATACCATACACCCATACACTGATTCCTGCTCTTCTAGGGTAATAACAGGTAAAGTGTGGCAGCTTAGTTGTGCCCGCCAGTAGGTAAATTACTACACTTTCTACCTTGATCCATCATAAGGCGCCAGGCTGTGCAGCACAAGGGTCTCAGCCTTTGGGCTGAGTGTATGTAAATTTATTGTATGTTCCAGCAATTGGGGTTGTGTTTATTTGCCACATCTAAGTAAAATTCTGTTGTGGCAAAAGCTGGTGTTGAGATTTCTTTCCTCATTCATGACTTCACTGTATCCTGGGGAGCCCACGGCTTACACCAGCAGAAGACGCTATACATGAAGGAAAGCCTTCCTAACCAAGTGTAAGTAATTAATTTTATTGCTTTTTTTGCAATCTAAAATTAAAGGGTTTTTTAGCCATATCTCTGATGTGAGCTCCGGACCTGCAATCTTCTCCCAGCTATGTGATCACAAAGCATGGAATCCTCAGGATCAGCATGACAGACAGAAAAGTATCATGGTGACAGTGAGAGAATGGCGATGGAGCCGCCATACTTCTCTGGGTTCAGGTTTCCTCTCTACAATGAGGACCTTCTACTAATGATGGGAGGATAGTATGAGAGGATGAGCCCTGATAACACACCATGTACTCCCCTCTCCTCCTCTCTATATAGAAGTCCGGTGTGGTCAGTTATCTCCGCAGCATTGAAATTAAGTTTGCATTTCATGAACCTGAACTCTCTCTAAAGTCTGTGTGCACTGACAGTATACACTCAGCATGACATCATCTTCCCTAGGTGGGTGTGTCAGTCAGTGATCAGCATAATCTCAGGTTCCATCCCAGGGTGATTGTACACAGCGGTTAGGAGAGTGCAGTATACTGAATCCTGCTTATGCTGCTTCTCCGGATGTGGGAAAGAGGTATTGCTGGGACTTGTAGTTCACCCCGTGCTACAGATCATTAGGGGGATGGTGAGTGTACAAATATACAGAGTGAGTGCCCAGTGTCTGTACAATAACATACTATGCATGTCATATCACACATAGACATGGGGCGTTGGTATGATGAATACTATGATTGTTATTCAGGATTTTTATAGCACTAACAGTTTGCACAGCACTTTACAATATAAAAGGGAGGCAGTACAGTTACAATACAATTCAATACATCTCTATGCTTCTCTTCTTTCGAGACTCACTGCATCCGGCTGTTTTCTCCTATTTCTCTAAGGATTGCAGTGATCTATCGGCCTCCTGGACCGGTGTCCCGCTTTCTTGATGATTTCTCCGCCTGGCTACCCTACTTTCTCTCCTCTGAAATGCCCACTATCATTCTTGGAGATTTTAACATCCCCATTAATGTCAACAACCCGGCTACATCCCAACTCTTCAACATAACCTCATCTTTTGCCTTAACACAATGGATACAGTCCTCCACTAACTCTGATGGGAACACATTAGACCTTGTTTTCTCCCATCTTTGCACTCCCTAGAACCTCACAAACACCCCCCCTTTCCTCTCTCTGATCACAATCTCATCACCTTCACAGTCTCCTCATCTTCAAAAGCTTATCCCTCCAAGCAGCAAACAATTACCTGCAGAAACCTTCACAACTTTAACCCTTCTCTTTTGTACTCTGGAACTGACCACCTCTATGACAGAATCTCTCCCCTGTCCTGCCCTCTGCTGTCTACAGTTCACTTTCATCCACATTAGACTCACTTGCTCCTCTAACCACATGAAGCATCAGGCCCGACCGTTACAACATTGGCAGACTGACCACACCAGAAATCTTAAGAGACCTAGTCATGCACTGGAGCGAATGTGGCGTAAAACCAAATCACACCAAGCTTTCACTCTATATAAATCTGCTTTCTTAGCATACAATTCCTCCGTCCATGCTGCCAAACAAGCCTACTTTGTCACTCTCATCAATAGCTTGTCATCCAGTCCTCGTCATCTCTTCTCTACGTTTAACTCTCTACTTTCTCCACCCTCACCTCCACCCAGTACCTCTCTCACTGCTTACAAGATTGCAAATCATTTCAAAAACAAGATTGATGCAATTCGTAGGGGCATCTCTTACCTCACTGACAACAACCTTCCTGACCCTTTACATTCTGGCTTTCACTTACTACACTCCACTGAAACTGCCCTACTAAAACTTACTAATGATGTACTAACTGCTAAAACCAATGGCCACTACTCCATACTCTTCCTGCTTGACCTCTCTTGACCTGGATTTTGATATTGTTGACCGTCCTCTCCTCCTCAAAAAACTCCACTCTCTTGGCCTGCGAGTCTCTGCTCTCTCCTGGTTTTCCTCCTACCTATCACAGTGCTCCTTTAGCATTACCTATAACTCTGGCTCCTCCTCTCCACTTCCTCCGTCTGTAGGGGTCCCTCTAGGTTCTGTCCTTGGACCCCTTCTCTTCTCCAACTACACCTCCTCCCTTGGTCACTTGATAAACTCCCAGGGCTTTTAAGTACCATCTCTATGCTGATGACACACAAATCTATCTTTCTACTTCTCACCTCACCCCTTCAGTCTCCTCTCGCATTACTAACCTACTAAGTGACATATCGGCATGGATGTCACTCCATTTCCTCAAACTCAATCTTTCCAAAACTGAGCTCTTAGTATTCCCTCCAGGCTGTACCCCCTCCCCTGACTTCTCCATCAAGACCAATAATACAACCATCAGTCCCTCCCCTTATGCCAGGGTACTAGGTGTAATCCTAGACTCCCATCTGTCCTTTCAGCCCCAAATCCAATCGCTGTCCAAATCATGTAGACTTCACCTCCGCAACATCTCCAAGATACGGCCTTTTTTAACCTCTGAAACTACTAAGCAACTTATTCACTCCCTGGTTATCTCTCACCTTGACTATTGTAACTCCCTCCTCATTGGCTGACCTCATCACAGGCTATCCTCTCTTCAGTCTATCATGTATGCTGCTGCCAGACTCATCCACCTTGCTAACCGTTCCGTATCTGCCACCCCTCTCTGCCAATCCCTCCACTGGCTTCCCATTGCCCAACGGATAAAATTCAAAACATTAACTATGACATATAAAGCCATTTATAACTCTGCCCCAAATTACATCACCAACCTTGTCTTAAAATATCACCCAAACCATACTCTCTGCTCCTCGCACGACCTCCTGCTCTCTAGCTTCCTTTTCTCCTCCTCTTGTGCTTGTCTCTGTGATGGAACGCAGCATCAGTCCCCAGCCCTTCTCACCACGCTGTGACCGGAGGACCAGCCGATCTCGCACCACGCTGTCACTTGTGTAACAATGCCACTCTCAGCTGCGCCTGCACAAAGATTTCCCAGCTTGCGGGACTACAATCTATGTGCCAGCAGCCTGAGAGCGATTGTTACTTACACAATTAACCCTTCACACTGCTACCACCCACCTTTTTACAGAGAAGGAGAAAACTCACAAATCTTAGCAGTAACACTATGATATTAGTATAAGCATCTGTAACACACACTGTCACCGCAGAGAGATATATTCAGAGGATTATTACATACAGGAGCACTCTT